TTAAAAAATAATGTCCTTTTATTTTTTGAGACAATTTGACAATTTATTACAAAAAAAGTTGAATTGAGCTATTTAAACATCTTACTTCACCGGGAGAATATCGTAATTTGACAAGAAGTTGCAGCATTGACTGAATTTGGCATCCTTCAGTATGGCCAGTTTCAGAAACAACACCAACTGTTGAACAACAACCAAATATGCAAGAGGAGCTTCTTCAAAAAAAAAGATGTAGAATATCTTTCATCATGGGCACAAGCTCAAAGAGAGGCATGGAAAAGCTTAAGTTATTAGAGAGCTATTGCCAGCTTTTTTATAAAAATAAAATCAATTTGGCAATAAAGAAAAAAAAATTTTCTAAGACAAATACACTTTAAAATTTGTTCATTTTCTAAAAGAAATATTAAATAGATCAAGCACCATTAATTATTTTCAATTGATATCACTCAACAGAATTGACATGAAAAAATCAAAAATTAATAAAATTAATAGTCTCATCGTCCTCATCATCAACATCATCAACAGTCATCTCCTCATCAAGATCATGAAGAGAAATTAGCATTAAAGCGATCAACAATTCAAGGTAAATAAATTTTTTTTTTTTAATTTTTATTTTTATACCATTGCTTATATAGTATATAAGAAATAAATATAATCTTACATTAATATTAATAGACTGATAAGGATTCATCCTTTATAAAAAGGATATTAGTAAAAATACAATGGAAAGTAGTGATTATAAATTACATTAATCTCTATCACCATCTATGGTGTTGTAAGTTAATCAAATGTAATACATGGAGGTATAGATAAATTTTCAAGAATGGTTATATTTCTCCATTGACAAAATTTCAAGTATTACACCTCGATGATAAATAAAGTTTCTGGCACAAGTTTTCTATACTCCAAAAAAAATCATTTCAGAGAGACTGGTTTGACTGTCTTTATATTAGTTTAAACTTAATAATCTTGGAAAAAAAATTGAATCAAGTAAATATTTTCAGTACATTGTAGTAATAATAATAAATCACAAATGGTTCTATGATATTTTATTGAAGGCAAAAATGAGTTTGTTTACCATGTCAAAGCAGATGGTAATGGTGACTGGTAAAAATTATTTATTTATTATTTGATATTACATTAAAATTTAATTTTATAATTTTATTTATGTGGCAATTGTAATTATCATAATATTTTAATATATGATTAGATATATGATTAGAAGGAATTAACCCGTTTATTTTAATGTTTTTGATTAATACATCCGCAATAAATATCAGAATATATTGTTCAAACAGTATATGAATGAATATTGAGGAGAAGAAAGAAATAGCTTTATTGCAGGAAAATCAGTACATAATCAAAGAATAGAAAGATTATGGGTAGATTTAGTAAAAGGTGCAATCAAAGTTTATAGAACTATCTTCATATATTTAGAGGACAATACAGTTTAGGTTTAGATAAGTTAATAACAATATAGTTGCCATTATTATCAATATTGGTATCTTTAATATTAGCTCCTTTAGTTGCAGAAAGAGAATGATTGAATAACTAGATAAGTTGGAGACGTGGGATATTTTTCAAGGAATGAGGGTATTGAAAAGTAAAAAGAAATTATTCAATCCAAACATTTTGTGATAATATCCTGCAACATTATAAAACAACATTATTCTGATCAGATAATGTAAGGAAATCATTAAATAATACTGGTATAAATTGAAATTTAATGATTTATTATTAAATGAAAAAAAAACCTGGTGCTAAATGCAATTAGTGTAAACAACAGTAGGCTTGTGGAAAAAGTTCAGATATGATTGCACATATTGCATTAATATGTCTAAAACCACCACCTGAAGTTCAAATAGATAAAAAAAAAGATGATTTGGTATATTATTATACACTACATACATAGGTAGATGTCTATACATGACAACTTCCTATATAATCAAGCAAAATTGGGGATAGTATATTATTCCATTGATTCCCATTTAATTCACACAAAATTTGGTTCATTTTGTAAATTTGGTTGATTTATTTATTACCTTTGAGAAAATACTTTTAAAAGACTAAAATACTATGACTGTGTAGACTACTGTAGCTTCTTCAGCATATATTCTTTTGTTGGCATGCTCCTTCAGCATATTTTCCTTCAACATTTGATATTCTCCTTTAACATAATATATTCTCTTCAGCATATGCTTTTCTAGTATATATTCCTTTAGTATAGGTTAAAAATTTTAATATTTTTAGGAAAAAATAGGAATAACTCTTATTATTGTCAAAGAAAACTATTTTTAAATGACAGAATATTATCTTGTTATGCAATATAACCAATGTTTCAGATTTAAATTATAATCAATTATACACATTATTACTTTTACAAGAAGCTAAGTTGAAAAAAAAATAGATAATAAAAATATAGAAAAAGTAATAGAAAGAAGATGTGATGATTTAGTCATTTCTGTCATCTCTATAATCTTTGTAAGTCTGACTTTGGTGAATAACTGATTTATCACTATTATGATATTATCAGAGTTTAAATTACTATACTTGACATGAATTTTGTCAAACCTATTTGTATAAGATCTCAAGAAGAAGTAAATTGTTGTCTTTATCCATCATTATCAGATATTCATACATCAAAGGATATTTATTCTATTATCTAAAAAATTGGTTAGCTCTGATAAATAAATAGATTAAACCATGCTATCTTTATAGATTTTATGGATGACAGATGTCCAAAACTGGATAGTCATTTTGCAGTTGGACATTGATTGATTATATCCTTCATTTTGATATATTAATTGTTAAAAATGATAAAGTATAGTGAATTTGTTATATAATATACTTGAATTAAATTTCTATCCTAAGTAATTTGGGTCAAATTTATAGTGCTAGCTAGCATTATAATTCTCTTTAACATAAATTTAAAATAAGGAAAATTTTTTCTATAGTAATTCACTTTTAATTATATCTATTTAGAGAGTTTTTCAAATACAGATTCTCTTATACATTTGAAGTTATTTATATTATTCAATCATTGCATTGCACATCAGTGAAACACCAGGATCTCCGGCAGAAAAGATCTGGTATGTAACTCGATCATCAAAAAAAAACTCGATATGTGCAAAAATACAGAATACCAGGATCATTAAAAAAGCATATCATCTGGAACTGAAGAACTGAGCCTAATCAAAGCAGAGAATTCCTTCAAATATACAAACATTAAATAACAAAAATAAGCAGATTCTCATATATCATCTTAGGTAAAAATTATACTCAGGCTGGATGTAAAATTGTTTCTCTTCTTTGTACCAAAAGTCAATATTTTCAATTTTTCATGGGTTTATTCATCATTTTCAGGCTAAAATAGGTATTTATAAATGTTTTATTCAAGAAAGTTGAGGTAAAAAAGAATTAAACTATATATTGAATGATGAGCAATGGTCAACTAAACATTATGATCAAGGACAAAAAACATATATAGTTTTATTAGATTAACCAAAGGATTTATTGTCAAATAAGAAGTAAAAAAGAATGAGATTAATTCCTTTAGCAACTGCATTTGCTAACAAAAGAATAACATGCAAGGAAAATATTAAAAAACAATGTTCTCAATACAAAAAGGGTGAAGTTATAATAGAATGGAAGGAAAAAAAAGAACATGAAATTAACAATAATTTTGTTATGCTGGCCAAATAGCTATACACTTCTATATATCACAAATTTATTTAGAGATTTAGAAAATGTAAATATTGTTTTATTAGAATAATAAAATGAAGTTTAGTTTTATTAGAAAAATTATATTGATTATATACCAATTTGATCATGTCACAAAAATTACAATTAAACTCTATTAAATCTAATTTTCTTTATTAATAATTCAAATTTTTTTAGGTTTATCATAAGTAGAAGGAATATTGTAAGATAATTCAACTATTGCAGCTTTAGGATTAATAACTTTACCTTCATCTTTCATAGTTTTATGAAAAAAAATGACACATGCATATGATTTTTCTTTTCAACTGGAGAGCAGGAAAAAGATTTAATGCCCCATTTTAGAGCTCTGCAACCTGACCCAACAGATCAGGTGACCAGACGGGTTGACCCAAAATATTCAGGTCAGGTCATCAAATTCGTGCTGGTCAGTACCCGACCAGACCCATTGACCTGACATATATTTGGGTCAAATAAATTAAAAAACGCCAAAACTATCAGTTTTGGCGTTTTTACATGTAAAATCAAAAAGAAAAACGCTGGAACTAATGATTCCGGCATTTTTACATGTAAAATCGGAAAAAAAATGCCGAAACTGATAGTTTCAGTGTTTTTACATGTAAAATCAAAAAGAAAAATGCCAGAACTAATTATTCTGGCGCTTTTACATGTAAAATCGAAAAAAATGCCAAAACTATCAGTTTCAGCGTTTTTACATGTAAATTCAAAAGGAAAAATGCCAGAACTAATGATTCCGGCGTTTTTACATGTAAAATCGAAAAAAAAAATGCCGAAACTATCAGTTTCAGCATTTTATATAAAACAAAAAGTAAAAAATGTTACAAAACGTTTTTTTACAATATTTAATAATAAAACTTTGGGTAACCTGAGTTACCCAAAGTGACATGAATACTTTTGGGTCAAATGGGTCGGGTCAGGTCAGAATGGTTTACCTGACCCGACCTGACCTGAAAAAAAATTTTGGTTAGGGTTAACCAGGTAACCCGACCTGACCTGACCTGTGCGGAGCTCTACCCCATTTATGATGTTTTTTTCATAAATTCTTTTACATAGCCATACTAATACATGCATGTATAGTGTAATGTTAGCATGTTAGTAAAGGCCTCTAATAAAACCAGCATCTTTAGGATTTCCAATTGAAGGAATAAGAAAATATTTAAGCCATGCATTACAGCTTTAGCTAGCAGCATGAAATTCTGTAGGATCAGTATATTCATTCTTCAATGCAGTATAAAGATTATCCATAACTTTCATATCATTTTTACTCAAGTAGGTTCTAAAATTGTTTCCAAATTAAAATAACATAATACTTTAAGCTTGTCTTGGCCTATAAGTAAAGTATATAACCATTTATTAGAATCTCTCTTGCCAAAATTGAAAGTGGATACCAATTCGATGCATCTCTTCAATAATAATTTCACGTGCTATGTCAAAATATCCAGATGCAATTATTTCATGTATTAATAAACTCCATAATCTATCAGTAATTCTTAGTATAACATGCAATTCATCAATTAGATAATTTTCCATATCAATCATATCAAATAATGGTTTTTTTATGACCTGGATAACAAGTAGAATTATTTTTTAAATTATTCATATTTTTTGAAATTGTCCAATTAACGTTTAATCATTATGCTGATCTTTTTTATTTGATTAAACACCAAGAGCAAAAATAATTACTTATTGGAGAATTAAATCCTAAACAAATAACTAAAATTTCCAGCCAGAGGAAAAAAAAAAATTCAAACCTCCAATGTATTATATTAATCATAAGTCCTTAATGTTTAAGTTGTCACAATTCATTTCTTAATGATCTAGTTGTTATATCTAAAGTATTATATTCATAAAACTGGGTAAAGAATAACTAAGAGTATAATGGTATTCAGGAAAAAAAAGGAATTCTTTACAGTTGAGAATTGCATATGTTAACTAACTTTGTGCCAACATCTCTACTATCCCAAGAATTCTTATTGAAATAGGAGGTTATGTTGGGTCTAAAATAGTTTTTAAAATTAAATTTGATTAAGAAATAATAAAATTTCTTTAATACTTCAAATTCCTGCTTCACCAACTGAATTAATTACTGTTTCTACAACATCTTCATCTATAATATGTAGTATCTTATCAAGATCTACCATTACAGTTTTTGTAATCAACAATACCAATTCTAATATCTTGTTCCATTGATTTGTTAATTAAGGTTTTTTGTTCAGATATTGCTTTTTCTCTTGATAAATTTGACTCAATTGCAACAAGATACCTATAACCATCTAGAGGTTGGAACCGGTCCAAAAAGTCTTAACCGGTTAATAACCGGTTAACCAAACCTTTAACCGGTTCCAACCTCTATAACCATCATGTGAAATTTGCTTTATCCTGGTCTTTTTCAACCTTAATATATATATGTACGAACTATGAACTCTAACACGCAAGATACTCAGCCGAGTAAGGCCCGTCTCCTCCTCTATAATCCTGGCTCTACGACGTCCACGTCATGTACTTGTGACACACGTGGACTTCACTATGTACAAAAAAAATTGCTCGTTATTACCTTTTACAGTTTAACCCAAGATTTTTGATTCGAATAATTCTCATTTTTTGGTGATCACAAATAACGAAGGTCTCACCACACTTAAAGAGTATTACTCAAGCTCCAAACGTCCGAACTTTAAATTAAATTCGCACTTAGAAATTTCCTCATCTACGTTTTCTCTCAATTCTAGAAAAGCGTATACACAAGTATTTCAACCGATTTCGTAAACTTGTATTGGACAAAATTGTCGCACTAAGGAAAAAAAAGGATGACAGAAATCGTTTCACCAAATGTTTCATCAAGTTTTTTCACAAAAATTACGTCATTTATTTAGGATTTTTATTCCATGTGATTATAAACATAGCAGCGGTCAAGCAGTGTTATCAAAATACCGATGGCGTTGTAACCATCATTTTAAGACGTCTTAACGATGTATCGAAACCCAGCAAGGGTCAATCCTATCGCCACAGCCTACTACAATCAAGTTTTACAACAACTTGATCGACCAAAAGAAGTTCGCAGTAACCGTTTGGGCTTGACATGTACGATTATTATACGACGCTATGAGCTGAGTAAAACCGCTGAATATGCCTATACCAACACCCAGAAGATTAAACCGAAACCCTATAAAAAAAATTCTGGAAAAAACTCTGATAAATGATCATTTTCTAGGTTTGGTCTTGTTTTTTCAAAGAATACAAAAACATTAGCTTCGATGTAGTTCGCTCTCAACAACAAACTGCGCGATATCTCGGGTTCATATGACTAAATGTCCAATAGTGAATTTTATACCACACTTGATCCTGCGATTCCCTCATGCTCAACGTCTACCGACTGTTTAGTCAGCAAACGAATTATTATTAAAATTACCATATTCCGTATAGGAAGCTTTGCCCACTTTATCCGCCTTTATCGAAAGAAAAAAACGCCGTAAAAATAGGTGTTGCCGTAATCTTAAACGTGGCTTAGAACGACATGACTTTTTGAAGAAGAAATTCGCAAACAAAATAAAGCTACTAAGAAGAAAGCAAAGAAAAGCGTTTGGAACAAAAGAATATAAAAAGAGAATGTCCGGAAATTGTCACCGAAAGTAAAGATGGTCATCGGTCCTAGAAGACCGCGGTCCTACGGTCCTACACCATAAAAAGACAGACCGGTCCGTCTTAGTATAGGACCGCGGTCTTTCGGTCCTGTATCACATATAATAAGACC